TCAATACTATACTGGAAGTCATAGCCAGAGCAATTAGGCAAGAAAAAGAAATAAAAGTATCCAAAGTGGGAAGGAAAATTACCCCCTTTCACATATGACATGATCCTATATACAGAAAACCCCACAGATCTGCAAAAAAGCTACTAGAGCTAAAAAACGAATTCAACAAAGTGACAGGACACAAGAGCAACATGCAAAAATCGGTTGGATTATTCTATACATCAGCAATGAGCAATCTGAAAAGGAAATTAAAAAAACAATTCCATTTATAATAGCATCTAAAAGAGCAAAATACCTGGGAATAAATATAACCAAAGAAGTGAAAGATTCGTACACAGGAAACTATAAATCGTTATGGAAAGAAATTAAAGAAAACTTAAATAAATGGAAAAACAGTCCATGTTCATGGATTAGAAAACTTAATATTGTTAAGATGTCAATATTCCCCAAAGCAATGTACAGATTCAACGTAATAGCCATCAAAATGCCAACAGCCTTTTTTGCAGAAATGGAAAAGCCAATCCTCAAATTTATATGGAACGGCAAAGGACCCCGAATAGCCAAAGCAATCTTGAAAAATAACAAAGTAGGGGGACCCACACTTCCTAATCTCAAAATATGTATACTTTAACAGACTGTTCTTAGATCTATGTGACTTCTCAATCAATACCCACACCAAGGCCATCTTTAAAGAATGGAAAAGTATATTTTACTCTTGAAAAGGAGGCATGTTCTCTGTAGGAAAGGAAAGATGCTTGGGAGCCTAGGATGCTGACAATCACACAAATCCAATGTCTATTTTCATTTTTATCTACACCACATGATTATCCACCCCGAGTCTGGGGGAAAACTAAAGAAGTCCATACAGAGGATAGAATTTGGAGGGCTAAAGACGATTGGAAGGAGCCCTGTGGCGTAAAGGGTTAAGAGCTTGGATGCTAACCAAAAGGTCGGCAGTTCAAATCCACCAGCAGCTCCCTGGAAACCCTATGAGGCAGTTCTAAACTGTCCTACAGGGTCAGTATGAGTCGGAATCAACTCGACGGCAATTTTTTTTTTTTTTTGTATTGGGCACTACACAACTTCTCAAACCTTGGAATCAGATTGGACACTGCCATCCTCATTTCCTGTTTTACACTGATTTTCATGCAGTACTTGCATTTTATCTCAATAACTCCCCAAAAACTCAACTTCACAAAGATATGATGTCATTGAAAGAGCCTTCGGCACCTAGGGTGTTGGCAATCCCACAAATGCAGGATAATCTAATATTGAAACCATTATCTATCTCAAGCTAGCAGTTCAGTCGCAACCAACAGATGCCAAGTATCGCTGTATCTACCTTGAAAATTTAAAATACCCTAGAGGGGCATTGTGAGTTCGCTGCAATGCCCAGGGACACCTTGGTGCACAGTTTGGGAACCATGGCACTATGGCAAGGTATTACATAAATTTAGTGGCTTTGAACTCGGACAGACCTGGGTTGGAAATCAGATTCTATCACTATGTGACCCTTGAGCAACTGACTCAGCTTCTATGCCTGCCAAATAAGCATAATAATACCAACCTCAGAAAATAGTTGTGAGAAACAATGATACAGTGCTCACACATAGTAAATGTTTAATACAAAAAAAAAAAACAAAACCTGTTGCCATTGAGTCGATTCCGACTCACAGCGACCCTATACGCTCAATAAGTGGTAGCTATTATTATGGCATTAAGACAAAATAAGTAGTTCATAAAACCTAAGTTTATAATTGGCTGTGAGGCCGGGAGAGGCAGTCTAAGCTGAGGCCACAATATCAATTAAAATTTATAAACAAATCTTCAGGAGAAAGATCATAAAGTGCTTAAAGAAGGGTAATATAGGTAACTATACTTTCCTCCAAAGATGTAACAATGTTGACACACCTGTCACAATAAATGACTAGGTAAAAAGCATTAATCTGACAACGCAGAAGAATATAATTTAAAAGGCATCTTCTAAGGGTTAATCATACCAAGAAAAACCAAAAGTTTTATAAACTAGATATTTTTAGATGGCCCTAAGAACTGCCTTTAAAAAATAATTTATATACAGCTAAACTCACTTGGCTGTAACAGATTTTTCTCTAACAGCATAATAGCTCAATATTATACTGTACTCAAAGCCCTATTTTCACAACATGCTAAAAAGTTAACACTTTAATTCCAACATTTTAATTCCAAATGGACTCATGTACCTTTTTATCTGACAAGCATCTTTAATAAAATTTTTAATATAAGAATACTTGTAAATGTTTGGCTTATAAAAGAATTTTTAAAACATTTTATCTGATCCTCAGGTATTATCACTATTTACGGATGAAACGGAGGTCCGTAGAGATTAAATGATTTGCCCTACAACATACACATCATACTATTCAACACTAAAATACATGGCTTCTAACTCTTTCTGGTGTATCACAACTCCTTCCCAATACGACTCGTTCAGATCTTGTTAGCTGGACCAGAATTGTTTGATCAGTTATTACAAGTAGGTTGACCATCATTAAATTTTTTTTCCTGCACAGTAATAGCATTTCACCTGCAGAGACTTTTCATTTGCCAAGCATCTTGAACCATGCAACATTAATAATTATTCTTAGATCACCTTAAGACCAAACCCAAAAACCAAACCCACTGCCCACAGAGTTGATTCCGACTCATAGTGACCCCATAGGGTTTCCAAGGCTGTAAATCTCTACAGAAGCAGACTGCCACACCTTCCTCCTAAGGATCCACTGGTGGTTTTGAACCGCCAACCTTTCAGTTAGCAGTCAATTGCTTTAACCACTGCACCATCAGGACTCCTCACCTTATGACAGGAACATTATCAGTCTCCTTTGCAAATATATGAAAAGCAATGGAGTACCTGAGCTGAATGATTCCTCTAAGCCCAGGTTAATTCCCTTTTTTTTTACTTAACTGGTGACCCACCATTCAACTCTAAACAGAAAGGTAACAATAAGTATTAAACTGACCCTAACTTTTTTTCTTCTGGTAATAATATCTAATAGTGCCCAAAATACTAAAAGGAATGGAGTGGCAAGCAATACTGAATACCACCCAAAAGACAATGCCATCCAGAAAGCCTACGCCTGACTTTGAACTTGGTTCAAATAAATTCCAAAAACAATTTACCAGCAATCCTTTTCTTCCGAATTCCCACATTTCTCTCTCTGGTATACATTACTATCATTTTCCAAGGTATTCTAAAAGCAACTTACTAAGGCATTCCACTTCATAATGAATACTTCCTTAAAAACAGACCGTGAATACAATTCATTAATGAAATGACTACATTAGGAAGCTTTTGTAAAAAATTCTGCAGGAAGTCTTTATAAAATGTAATTAATCACCCTCTTATTTGATACTATTTTAAAAATTAGCCTTTCATATGCCAGGATTTGTTAAGGGTACAAGAGATTAGGGAAGGTAAGAAGAGATATGGGCTTGTCTTGTAACTACTATACAGAGACTTTGGTAGTCATAACTTCATATTCTCTACAGGCAACATTTGGAAGAATGTCACTCTTGGGCCCTTCCTAGCAATGTAAATATACTGTTAATGGAAATGTCTTCATTTCCATGGAGAACAGAAAAGCAACCATGCTTTCCTGGAAAATAAACAGCTATCTGTATCGTCCAATACGCAGTCCACTTTGGCCACCTAACACCGACAAAAAAGAAAAAAAGGCCTATTTGGAAAACGTTTCTTCTCCAGCCAATGGCCGTTCCCAGATAAAGGCAATGCTGAATACAACAAAAATAAAAACCCTTCTTTGAGAGAAGAAATATGCCAGAAAAGGAGAGGCATGGATCGGGAATAAAGAGACAGTGAGTGTATGTGCTCAGTGTGAAAGCTGGAGGCAGTAGGCACAGCGCTGAGATGCTCCAGCGAAAGAACCACCACCAGCAGCAGCAGCAGGAAGTTTCAATGGGGCCGGGCAGAGCATGCGCACTGCACCCGCGCGGTGGCCTTATGTGGAAGGAGCACCACTTGCGAACACCAATAATAGACCAGCGGCACCAGAGAGAAACATGAGCAACAAGCACCTTCTTCAACTGTTTCCCCCTACGTCTAAGCCCCTCCTCCAGCCTACATACAAACCACCCCACCCCACCCCACCCTGCAAATGGGAGGGCGACTTCTTCTTCCCCTAAGCCCAGCTGCCAAGACGACGGGGGAAGGGAGTGGAGAAAGTGAGGAGATGCTTTTCCATTATTTGGGGGGAGGTGGGGAGGGAGAAAAGGAAAGCTTTGGGGGAGGAGGAATTAACCCTCTATCCTCCTAGGTGGAGAAGCTGAACTGACTTCACCCTCCACCGCGAGAAAGGAGGAGGACCCCCTCCCATAGGGGAGGAGCCGACCTCACAACTCAGAGGAAGGAGCTTTGGGGGTTAAACCAGCCCTCGAGGGGAAAGGAAGAAGGTAGAGAGCTGACTCTCTCGGGGGAGCTCCCACCAGAGGGAGGGAGAGTTGCAGTGTCCGCTGCCCCCGCCCACCTAGGTGGAGGATTGAAGGGGACGCCCCAAGAAGATGGGCCCGGCCTCCCCTGAGATGGTGGTGAGGATGGTGGGAGGAGGGGAGAGAGCAAGGGAGGGAGGAGAAAAGCGCAAAGCTGGCCGGAACCTGCGCTCCCCTTCCCCCGCCACCGAGAGGGAGAAGGGGTGGGGGACCGGCCCCGGACGTGGTGGAGCGGTCCCAGGGGCGGCCGACGAGTACCATGACCCCTGCACACCGCCAGCCCACACCTAGCTGCGACACCCCCACCTTCGCTCCTCGCCCGGCCGGGTGACCCTAGGGGCCCCCGCCCCGCCTCCCCTCAGCCCAGGACCCAGAGGGCAGGGCGGAGGAGAACGGTGGAGCGGGGAGCTTCCCCCAGGACGGGGCTGCGAAGGCCCGGGGCATCCGTAAAGAGCCGAGAGAAGGAGCCCGCCAGGGCCGCTTCCCGCCGGGCGTTCGGGCCCCTCGCTTACCTTCTCCGTTGCCGACGTCTGGCGGCGGCGCCTGCAGTACCCGCTCCAGCTCCGGGAACGGCAATTCAGGCAGGTCGAGCAGCGGCCCATAGCGCTCCAAGAAGGAGCAGACTACGGCAAAGTTGGGGCACGAACCTGGGCAGCCTGGAGGAGCCATCGCCGCCGCCGCTGCCGCCGCCGCCGCCATTTTGAACTGGAGGATGGAGGAGGAGGCGAAGGGGGGGTGATGGGGGAGAGTTGGGGTGTCAGAGAATGGCAGGGCAGCCTTACAGACGACAGGAGGCGCTATCGAGTGGTCTCCCCTGTGGATCCGAGCGTCTCAGAGACGGCGCCGCGATCCCAGAATACAACGGTGTCCCGGAGCAGTCGAGAACCGAGTCAGACAGTGGAAAGAGAGGCACTCTGTGCCTTTCACTTTCCGCCCCCTTCCCTCCCTCTACTTCACCCCTCCCACTTCGGGTTCGCCACAGCCTCGTGTGACAGGGGGAATGAAAACAAGGGAAGCCGGGCGGGGAGGCTGACTGGAAGCTGAAGAGGCGGGACTTTTCATGAAAGATGGCCAATAGGCTTGAAGGGGGCGTGGCTTCTGGCACTGACTGGCCGAAGCGCTTTTTCGGGGCGGGGCGTGTGAGAAGGGAGGGGAGCGGCTAGCCGAGTGGGCTAAAGGCAGCAAGGTCAAAGATAAAGCACGGAACCGTTTGGACAAGCAACTCGGAGGAGACTTCGGTGAGTTTTGAGGGAATCCCGGGAACTGAAACTGGGCCACAAGATGGTGGGGGAAATTGAGAAGAGTGAATTAGAAAAGCAGAGTAGGGAAAAAAGGCATGACTTGGGAAGAAGGTTGGGAAGGAGAAAGGTAGAAGGGCCTTTCCCTTAGGCGATGGGATGAGACCTTTGTAAGGAAAGATTTCTGCAAAAGTTTGCTGAGGGGTATTGCTGGGGTACAAGACTCGCAGCTTTGTTGGAAAAAGGAGGGTCTGAGGACAGGAACTCACCAGGGGACCAGGGTCTGAGGGAACGGGTTCGTACCGGGACAAGGTAGGGTCTGAAGGATCGGAACCCTGTCGGTGTCACCAGGGTCTGAGGGAACGGGGTTCCTCTGGGGAATCAGGGTCTGAGTGTAAGGAGCTCTGCCTGGGTTACTAGGGTCTGAGGCGCTGGTGCCTTGCTGGGAGATCAGAGTCTCAGGGGACTAGGTTCTGCTAAGGGACCAGGATGTTAGGGGAAGGGGCTTTGCTGAGAGACTAGAGTCTGAAGGTGAGTAACCTTCCACTGACAAGTCGAACACGATGGGAAACTTAGTGGAAGATCAAAAGTTTGTTAGAGGACAAGGTTCCACTTTGTTGGCGGACAGAGGTGAACATTCTCCCACAAAGAATCCCAGAGAAAAACCAACAATCAACAATAATGCAAAATAGAATGTACAGCTTGGGAAGCAATATGCACGAACCTGAGATTTGAATTCAGCCAGAACTGAGTCTTGACAGGACCTCTTCATGACGTTGAGAAAGATTCTGTACTTCTTAAAATTTTTATAAAGTGGAGATAATGATAATACATCACAGAATTTTACTAGATAATTCACAATATAGTTATTAGCACAATGCCTTGGTGTATTGTAAGTACTTAAAAAGTGTTATTTGCTAGTATTGAAGAAAGAAGTTAATAGAATTTTGACTTAATTCAGCTATATTTATTTAGCCCAGTTTACTTTCTTGAGGCAAAATCTTCAGAGTGCTTTTAAAACTTACATAGTACCTACTTCCTAAAAAGATTTTGAAGCAAAGTACAATACAAACTATGTTTAGGACAGGGAGCTGTTTTTAGCACAGTGATTAAGCGCTCAGCTGCTAACTGAAAAGTTGGCAGTTCAAACCCGTCAACCACTGGGCTGGAGAAAGATGTGGCACTCTGGTTCCATAAAGATTTACAGCCTTGGAAACCCTATGGGGCAGTTCTACTCTGTCCTATAGGATCACTATGAATCGGAATCAACTCGACAGTGATGGTTTAGGACAGTTTATGATTAAAGGAAGATAAAAAACTGTACGTTGTTGTTAGCTACCATGGAGTCGGCCCTTGACTCATGTTGTCCCCATGCACAACAGAATGAAATACTGCACTGTCTCCATGATTGATTGCAGATCAGATTATCGTGATTCATAGGGTTTTCATTGGCTTATTTTTGAAAGTAGATCTCCAGGCCTTCCTTCCTAGTCTGTCTGAGCCTGGAAGCTGTCCTGAAACCTGTTCAGCATCATAGCAACACACAGGTCTCCAATGACAGACAAGTGGTGGCTGTGCATGAGGTGCATTAGCCAGGACTCGAACCTGGGTCTCCTACATGGAGGGAGAGAATTCTACCACTGAAGCACCCCAGTGGTCTATATCATTCTCATTATATAAAGAAAGAATACTCATTTGTTAAAAGAAAAAAAGGTCCTCCTGGAGGAGTTTATTGCCTATAACAGTGATTCTTGAATAATATACGAATCACTTTTTTTATTGTTGTAAAAATATAGTAAGTAACAGCTATCATTCTGTTTGCATGACTTAAAATTTCCTTTAAAGATTTGTTGTCAAGTAAAATATATATATATATATATAAAATACATGTGCCAATTTAACATTTTTCACGTGTACAATTTAGTTACATCAATTATGTTAATCACGTTATACAACCATCACCATCATCTGTTGCCAAATTTTCCATCACCTTAAACAGAAATGCAGTGCTTCCTAAACGTTGACTCCCCCTTTTCCCTTTCCTCCCATCCCTGGTAACCGCTAATAAACTTTGATATCTATACATTTGCCTATTCTAGATATTTCATATGAGTGAGATCATACAATATTTGTTCTTTTGTTGTTGACTTACTTCAGTCAGCATAATGTTTTCAAGGTTCATCTATGTTGTAGTATGTATCAGGACTTCATTTCTCTTTATGGCTGAGTAATATTCCTGAATCGCTTTTAAAGAGAAAAACACACACACGGTTCATTTGAAACTTGGCAAATACTTTTGAAAATTCCAGTTTAAGAAATACTTATATAAGAAATTAAAGTCTTACTTTGGGAAAATGTCTTATGGTTGTGAATTATTATTGCAAAAGAGAAGTTTTAAATTTAATGAGTGATAAAATATTATTTATAAGCTATCTTTGAAATGAAATGCAAAACTAAATGAAACCGTTTTGGTAGAACTCTTAGACTGCGTAGTATGTGTCTCTAGACCCCGGGGATCCGAAGACCCTGGTTTAAGAAAATTCTGACCTAGAGCATATCTGTAACAACAGTTTTGCAGAAAGATAACCCCCCAAAAAAAAGCAGAAAAAAACTTTCACATAATCATTACTTCTTGTTCTTGTTAGCTGCCAGCAAGTCAGCCACCAACTCATGGCAGTGCTGTGCACAATGAAACTAAACACTGCATCAATCCCCGTGATCAGTTGCAGATCAGACCAAAAACCAGTTGCCATCGAGTCGTCATTACTTAATCGGCCTTAAATAAAAGCCAGGTGCCCAATAGTAAATAAAATAATATCTCTGTGAAGTAATCTCTGTGGAGAGAACGTTGAAACCAAAAAGAAGATTTAATTATGTCATTATGTGAAACCTTACCCACCCTTCCTTCCTCTCTCTTAACTTTCAGCCTTTCTAGTACCCCAGCTCCCACTCTCTCATGAGGTTGTAAAATAACATTCTAAAGAAGAAAAAAAAGCTTTATACTATAGTTTTCTTTTCTCAATGCTCACACTGTTATTCAAAGGGGGACTGATAAATAAGGTTAGAGTTTCTGCCTTTTCTGATCCAGATTGGCATGGGAACAAAGTCGTTTGGCATCAGAAATTTATATCCACCCAGAAGATAAGAGGTGTTTTACTACACTTGTTCACTGAGTCATGCCTTCACTAAGTCTCTTCTTGAAAAGAAACAACACACTCATGATTGGTACCACCTTCTCTATTTGCCTTTCTTGGATAAGAGGTTGTAGGTTACAAGAGTCTAATCCCAATTTATGTAGTAAAGTAACTGAATTATGTACATCAGACTAGAATATAAACATAGAAAAAGAGAAGCTTTTTCTAAAACCTGTTATTAATTTATTGCCACTGCAATGAAGAGGCCTTCAAACAGCCATTAAATTATCTATACTCAGTCTAACTTTGTTTATTAATAAGAAATTTCTTAAGATCAAATTTCACATCCTTTTAGGAAAAAAAAGACTTAATCTGTTCAGTCAGAATTAATGGCTAGTTTATTCAAAATTCCAAAAAATGGAAAACAATCCAAATGTTCATCAGCAGAAAAATGGATAGCTATCTGTTCCTACAATAGATTGCTGCTTGTACTGATGCACACTACTGATACACACAGCCACACTGTGAACTGCAAAAACATGAGGTGAGAGAAGGCAGACACAAATGAGTAGGTACTGTATGATTCCATTGTTGTTAAGTATTTTAAAATATTTTAAAAATTTAAATATTTTGACTATCGCCATAGCATATAGCAACGTTTTTTTAAACTGACTCCTTAGTGGGTTTTAAGGAGTCCCTGGGTGGTGCAAATGTTTAACACACTCAGTGGCTAACCAGAAGGTTGGCAGTTCATGTCCACCCAGAGGCATCTCAGAAGAAAGGCCTGGTGATTACTTCTGAAAAATCAGCCTTTGGAAACTGTATGGAGTACATGGCTTCATCATAATTAGTAATCGACCGAATGGCAACTGGTTTGGTTAGAGGGTTTTAAAATCAATTTGGTGAATCAAGAACACAATTATGTTAAAAACGAAGTAGAATGAAAACAAAACAAAATATCAGAATACATTATATATAGTAAGGATATTATTTTATGACAAGTATATTTCATGAAAATATTCTTTCAGATAGATGTATCAGAAACATGTATGTGTGAGAAAATGTATCTGTTACTATGGTTTATTTAGATAAAGCATTTGAAACATATTGCCCTAGCATTACATGTGGAGGCAAATGAACAAATGAGTACCTTAATGAATGAAAAAATCGGATCTTTATCAGACGATTATGACAAAGGCAACAGATATTGCTGGGTAAAATTTATATTTTACCTCCACACTCCTGGATAAACTCTTAGTATAAATACAGCAGATTTTGCATCACTTCACTCAGTGAAATGTTATGACATGCCAGGCCCATCAGTTTTCCAAGTGGCAAAGAGAACTGTGTCAGCAAAAGCATTTCTTTAATACTATGTGATGACACTTCCAGGTATCTGGTGAGTCATTAAAGTGAGGTTGATTATTGTGTCAGAATACTTTAGGCTGCAAGCAAAAGATAAACAAGCATAAATAATAAAGGGAATTTATTGCCTCACAATTGAAAAGACCAGTGACAGTTCACACTTAAAGTATGATTTGACCAGGACTAAAACTGTTTCTTGACCTTTCTCTCTGTTTTGCCTTCCTCTGTGTGGGCCTAATTTTCAGACTGATTGCCATCATAGCAGCAGTAGTTTCAGAATTTCTCCCAAAACTTCATAAAATTGACTCTGATTGGTCCAGCTCATCTCACATGTTCAACCCTGAACCAAATACTGTGACCAGTGTAGAATGTGAGGATAGAATATGCTCAATGCCTTAAGAATATTGGGTACTTCATTTCTAAAGCTAGAGGTGCAATTGATTTATGAAAACCACACGGAGTCAATCCATCAAGAAGATATAAAAAAAAAATAAAGAAGAT